GCTTACTTTGCCTTTGGAAGAATGTTAAACAATTTTCCTTAGATGTTAGAGGGTATTTTATTTAAAATGAATAGAATTTGTTTTACCTTTTTCTTTATTTTTTTCTCACCCTCATATTCTCCTTTTTTTTAACTGTCCTTATTACTATTAAATTTAACAATAATTAATGCTTGATATTTAATATTTTTAAATAAGTCTCAAATCAACTTTATAGAATTAAATTGATTTCCCAAAAAAATTATAGAATTAAATTTGAAATAAAAATATTTTTTATTTCTCTTTATATACATGTAACTCATCTAATTGTGGACAATTTGGTGGGACTTGACTTGAAGCAAATCCAACCCAACTACTTGACAACTCTACATACGATGGACCAAGGGTCCTACTTATTTTTCTTTGAATTTCTTTCCAACTTCCAATATGTGATGCTCCTTAATTAATATATTGGGGTACAGAGGACTGCCTATTTCCTTGGCTCAAGGGTGGCTAGCTAGCATTATTTAGAGAGTTTCGACCAATACAGCTGATGATGGTACAAAACACCTAGAGAACTTTTTTGGGGGGAGTAATTAGCTCAATAACATTTGACCAAACAAAAAAGCAGACAACAATTATTTAATGGTAATGCCAGACAGTGGTATTAGTCAACTTTGTCAACACATGTCCATTTTACAAGATTACAACTTTCTTTGCTTACTTCTTTTGCTTAATCAACACTCCTTTGATCATGTTTTTGACACTAAGATAATATACCTATAAAGATTGGCCCAAATAGCAGAGAACCAATGCAAAATGTGGTTTTTTTTTTTTCTTTTTTTTTTCTTTTTTGCCATCAATGATGCCAAATATGTTGAACACAAGTTTGAATTCATTTTTTGTCATTTAAGTACAAATAATTTGAATAGAAGCCTGTCATTTTTAAATATGAAATTTTACATGACACTTATAAATCTCTATAAAATTAATCAAATTAAAAATATAAATACTCATATTATAAAAAAAATATAATGATCATATAAATAAATCTTTTTAATCAGTACAACTCACCCAATTACTTGTGTATATCTCACGCGGTCATCAAGTCATGTAGGATCATCGATGGGTGCGGTGACTATTTAATTGTTTGTAATGAGTGTTGTGTATATGGTGGTGTGGTCACTATCAAAATTGTGATCAGTGTATAGCGAGGAAGAGAAGGACAGGGACGCATTATAGATGGTTTAAAAAATTGATGGTTTAGGTTGATTTTATGGAGGAAGGCATGGAACACCCTAATCATTACTTCTTGTTGCTGCAACTGTTGCTTGGTCTAACTCCAAGGATTCTGTGGAGACACCATTCAAGGACATGGATCGACATATGGCCCCTTCAGCCTGTCTTCCAACTTTCCATCCCATGTTGTCTTTCATCTTCTTGAATAGTATAAGTTTTGTTCAAATATAATGCAAATGGTATCTAATTATCCACCGTAAACCAACCTTTTCTATACTTTACGTGACATTATTCTTGTTAAGGGCAGTCTAATTAACACCTTTCTTTATGACATTTTGCACTATTAATTTTTTTTAAATTTTAAATAATACAATAAAAAACAACACTCTTAATTTTTAACATACTCTACTTGTATGCCATGTGATATTGATACAAATTTCAAAACCTTTAATTTTAAATAAAAAGAGATTATTACTAAATTATTTAAATTATTGACTTTGTGATATTAAACTTCTCATCAAGTTTATATATATTAGTGGTCGTGCCTTCATGTGGATTCAGGAGAGAGCAAATTAAAACTAAGAAGAAGAGAGAGCTAAAGAAACACTAATATAATCAATCACTCATTGATCAAAGTGGAAGAAACTTGATTATTTTTAAATAAAATATTGAGTTTGAGTATTATGAATAATGAAACAGGTACGGAGAGAGCTTCTTTTCATATGAAGTTTAACGTGACTTAATTTTGGAATAGCTGGAGTTTAATATAACTACCGAATATTGAGAGATTAATAAAAAAAAAACACTAAAATATAAGAGTTACTATTATACTAATAAATTACAACAATAAAGGGGTTAGACAATAAATATAAACCCTCTCTTTTAAAAAATACAAGATATGTATTTTCTAGATAAGTATGAATTTTTTTTAGCAAGTAAACAATCACAATGATTTTTTAAAATAAACAATAAAAAAAGATAAATAATCAGTTTTCCAAATTATATTGAGAGAAATATGATTTATTAAATTTAATAAATTTAAGCAAAACCATTCCATAAACCTTTAAACTTACCCCATTTTAATTTATAGCCCCCTGAACTAAAAAACAAGTAAATATGTTCTTGAGCTGCACAAATTATAGCAAATTAGTCATTTATTAATAGATTAACTAAGGGTATTTTTAACTTATATCCTAAAAAAGTAAAAATACAAGTTAAAGTTAAGAGCACTATAATAAACACACATTTTTATCATAAATTTATATTGAAAAAATAAAAATTGACATTTAACTTAGTAATTATCTAATTAAATTCATTTATTTAGCAGTTATACTAAAATTAATATCAATTTTTACAATTTTTGATATACATTTATGATAAAAATGTGTTCTTAATCTATATGTTAAGGTATATGTTAGAAAAACCCATCAACTAATTTGACAATTAAAAAAACGTCTTTGGTCAATTCATTAATGTGGCAATTTAATGAAATTAGCAATTAAATTGAAATTATTCATTGTTTTAATTGTCGGATAAATATGCATTAATGAAAATCATTTATTTTTTCAGTCACATTAGCTAAAATTAACAAAAACTCTCAATAGTCATTAACGAAGGGAGAATTTGCTTTATTTGCATGGTTTAAGGGCTTATGTGATTGTTTTTAAATTTAGGGGTTATTATATCTCCTAAAAGGGGTAAATTTGAGGGCTTAAGTAATTGGTTTTCCCATAGATTTATTTAACATAGAGAAAACCAAAAATCATCGGTAGCACACATTTTTAACCCTCCTTTCCATTATTTTTAGCAATTTCCAACCCCTACCCCCCAACGGTAAAAAAATGTACCCTCCCTCTTTCCTGCAAACCCCACGGATTAACCACCACAAATCAAAAATCAAAATCCCTAAAAAAGTAAAAATGGCTTCCTCCATCTCAATTGCTCGTCTGATTAGCCACTAAATCTCGATTAATCGCAAAAGTTTCCTTCTCCTTCGATGGTTGCTGTGGTGGGCGCTGCTTTTTTGGCTCGCGTGAGGGAAGGAATGCTTGTTTGGGGACGTTTGACATTGAAGTCGGGCTATGTGCCTGTGTCGAGATCCGGTAAAATCCGGCCAGTGTCGGACGTGAATTGAAGGAATCGGATGATTTCTGAGGTAAAATCAAATGCTTGGATGAAAAGGGAATGAAATTTAGGGTTTTTATCTGGGTTGTAATCTGATCCCAGGATCAGAGAGAGAAAGAGAGAGAATTTGAGATTTTCGTAACCCTACGGAAGGGCCGGTTTGAAGGTGACGGAGAATTGAATGTGGACACGGAGAGATAGAGAAAGAGAGTATAGAATCGAGCGGCGAGATTTTAATCTCTCCAACTAGACCCTCAGAGAAAAGGGAATCGAGTGGCAGAAAGAGAGGGATTTCGAGGGGTTCGATGGAGAAAATGTTAGCTTTAAATCAAAGGATTTTGAATCCTGAAGATTGTAATTGTAATAGGAATTCAAAATTTTTGTCTGCATCCTGCAGGTAATTTTTTTCCTTCGCGTTTTTACAATTTTTTTTTCTTTTGTTCTGAGAATGCCATGGTTATAGTGATTGGCTTCTTAGATTGCAGGTGAATATGTTTTGGTACTCTGGAATTCCATGTTTGGTATTCTGGTTATGAGTTCTTTATTTTTGTTACTTGTTGATGGTGATGATTGACAGACAACCTCTCTGAGGTATTCTTAGTGAAGCTGAAATCTGGATTTTCTTTTGCATTGGTCTTGTTAGTTTAAACTTAGGTTTTGTTAGATGAATGTGGATGGATGAATTAGTTGGTTTGATTTGTTCTTGTTCTTGAGTTGCTGCCAGCTTGACCTGAGGTAGGTTTTGGTTTTGTTTGTTGAATTGGTTGAAGATGTTGAATTGTTGATGGGTTTGGATATGAGCTTGAGTTTTGAGTCATATAACTGTTAATGTTGCCATGGTTTCATACATTTTACGAGTATAATGGGAAGTTGATTTTAATCACTTTAATCTGAAAAACTTTGATCAGCAATTCATGATGGAAATGCATGTTTTCATACTGCTAGGTTGTTCTGCTTGTTACATTGTTTCTCTCCTTTTCTTTGTTACTTACTAATGAGTCTTACTGACTTGGTTTATTTGCATGATTTACCTTGCTTGCAGAGAGAGCAATATATGGAGCCAAGGGATCTTTTAGTCCAGAGCCTCTACTTAATATCTTTTTTCCTTTTTCGTTCTTTCATTTTTGTTGTTTTTATATTTGTTCATCATTAACTGTATGATTTGACTTAAAGTGGAATCGAAATTTATTTTGTATTTAGTTTACACTTAAAGTGGAATCGAAATTTATTTTGTATTTAGTTTACACTTGACACACACTTGACACAAGTTAGTGAGGTTATGCAAGGCAATTAATGTCATTACATGGTTTAACTCAGATTTAAAAATCTAAGTTTGAGAGATGATATAACCACTCAAGTGATCGTAACTTTTTAGAATAACCTACTGGTATCCACAAGGTGAATTGAAAACTTTATTGTGAGAGGGATGGTTGTATGTTATGGGAGTGTACTTGATATTCTTTGCCGTCACATATTTGGGAAGAGTAGACTTTATGAAGTTCAGTTATAGAAATGCAATGAACAAGTGTACGGGTTCAACTACTTGTTAGTCTTGGTTAAAGGAGGCATTTCCTTGCTAGTGATCTTGGGATCAACTATTTGTCATATTGCCACAGCACTGAGGTTCTTGATTGTTGGATTAGCTGGGATTGCAGTGTTTTTCTTGGCAAATCTTCCTTCAACTATATGGCAGCTACATTTTTTGTATATCATTAGAAACTTTGAGTTCTCTTTGGTATCACTTTTTCTTTGGGGTTTTTTCTGGTTTTTTATTTTATTTTTTAATATATTAAGCAGTTATCTATTTCTTCTGTTTTGTTTTTTCAAAATATAGGTATTTTGTGGTTTGCTAAAGAAATTAACAAGCAACTTTTTTGGAAATTAGAAAAATGTTCTATGGCTACAGGTTTTCACAAAAGGCAGGGTATATTATTGATCCTATTATCACTATCAGTTATTTCTTAAAAGTCATCTATGTTTTCTGTGTATAATAGTTGTATTATTTTCCCTGTATTTGAATTTTAATTATGTTAAGTATTAATAAAAATAATAACAAAGTGATTATTAACTATTTATATTTTCTTATACGTGTACTTTCCTCTCTATGTATTTTTATGGTAACTACTTTTCTTATAATTAGTTTACGTCCTTCTCATTGAATTTACTTCAAAACTTAACAGAAAACAATTAGGTTTCATGTAAATTTTTCTAATGCGTTCAAGTTTTCTTAAGTTTTACATAAATTTTTCTCATCAAAACTTAACAGAGAAGGTAAAAGTTAATAGAATCTATCCAACTATATTTTCATATAAATTCGTTTTAAAAATTAGAAACTTCAAAAATTATGAGTTTTCACTTTCTACCCCTTTTTTTTTCCTGAGTTTTCATTTTCTAAAATTTTTCTCTTTATTTTTTCCTTTAAAAAAAAAAATTATTAGTGATACCAAATACTACTCAACGTTTACAACTTTTGTTGAGTTTGCCAACACTTCTCATTAGAAGTTGTAAACACAAGTTTCAAATGAGGCAATGAAATGTACTCCTGCTATATGGTTGGGGTTAGATATGCTGACGGAAAATATTGTAAGCGACGCTGATCTTTGCCAATCTCGATAATTTAGGTTTGTGGTATTTGACAAAGTTGCATTTCCATAATTGCTATTGGGAGATTACCCTTCCAAGCGAGATTGACATGTTTGTTTGACCTTATAATTTGATCGTTGTATTTCTTTCAATTGAGCTTTTATCAAGTCTCAAATTTTCAAATATGCGGTGGAAAAAGGATATGCAGTGTACTGCCAACATTTACATTCACCCTTATTACGTTAAAGTTTTTAATCCACACTGTGTAAACTAGTAGATGGTTCTATGAAGTTGAGACCTAATCAAGGTTATATCTTGATCTCGACTTAGAATTTTAATTATTGGACCATGTGCTGACATGTATGGTACAGCCAATGTCCTAGGCCTATTAGATGTTAGAAAGGAAGCACTTCAAGTTTCTTGTTGTTGGTTATCTGTAAATTTACAGAACATTCTATAAAGATTTACTATCATTTCTTCTTACGAACCATTCTATTGTGTTTCTTAGTTCAATTGATGATTATAATGTTTGACATTAATGGATTGCCAAGCAAAGAATATTAATTTCGAACTTGGAGACTCTAATAACCACTCTACTGAATTAAGATGCAAGGAAATCAGTTTACTTTAGAAGCTTTACATTTGAGAAAGTATTTTCGTTGGCATCCCTTTGTAAATGATCGTCTTGATAGATGTTACAACTTATTAAGGACTACAACTTAGTCTTTCTGAATGCCAAAGAAAACCTAGACAGGAACATCAGAGGGGTAATTTTGCGGATTTCTGTTGATTGTTTCCCTTAGCTGTTTCTCTTGCTCCTGAAGGTTACGTGGTGGGTGATCGTACACATCAGAAAACAACTCTGCAAGTGGAGGCTTCTCTGTTCTCTCCGCGACCTGAATTGCTTGCAATACCTGCAGGAATTTATTAGTCCATCATGTAACTAGGACTTAGAAAGACAATAGTACTTTTGCAGGGAAGTAAAAGCTGTCCTCACCTCCTTCCTTATGTTGCCTCGAAGCTCGGCTTCTTCTGTTTCACTCCACCATCCATTGCTCTCGATCCATTTCTTAAATATACTCACAGGGTTTCTAGACATCTTCCAGTAATCAATTTCATCCAGCGCCCTGTATTTGGTGGAATCATCGGATGTCGAGTGGTGTCCTACTCTGTATGTCATGGCCTGAAAGCAACATAACAAGACACAGCTCTCTGTTCACTCAAAGCAGAGGAGATTCTGCATATATTTTGTCAATTTTGGATACAAGATGAGTAGAAGAATCTCACCTCAACTAAGATAGGTCTCTGCTCCCTCACGGCCATATCACGAGCAGCATGAATTGCATTATAAACTGCAAGAGCATCATTTCCATCGATCCGAATGCTTCTTATTCCATAAGCTTGACCCTTCAAAACAATGCCATCGCTCCTGAATTGTTCTGAAATATTTGTGCTTATGGCCCACCCGTTGTTTCGACAGATAAAGATTACTGGTGCTTCCATAACTGCTGCAAAGTTCAAACCAGCATGAAAATCTCCCTGGAAAACAGAAAAGAACACAGATGAGGTACGAGAATTCAAAACAGAACTGGGTACAATTCTAAATGAATCCGTCACCTCACTAGTGCCACCATCCCCAAAATATGTGACAACACAAGCATCTTTTTTCTCCATCTTCAGCGAATAAGCAACCCCTGCAGCTTGAGGAAGTTGTGTGCTGGAATACAAGTTTGCAACAGAAACAATTACAACATTTTTGACAAGAGAGATCATATCATACCAAATAAAAAAACCCGGTACCAAATTAATTGTCTGGAAATCATCTTACGCAATAGGTGATGAAACATTGAAGTAATTGTGCTTGTTAGATCCATAATGTATAGGCATCTGCCGACCTTTTCCATAGTCAGCCTTGTTTCCGAGACATTGGTTGGCAAATTCTAGCAATGTGAAGCCACGATGTAGTAGAACTCCATGCTCCCGATACTATAGTAATTAACAACAGTTTGCATTAAAAATTAATACCATTCTCAAGTCGTCACCTAATAACAGATCAATTAAGGTGTAGTAAACATATATAAAGGGCTTACTTGGGGCAAGATAATGTCGTCTTTGGTAAGGGCAGCTGCAGATGCTATGTTAATTGCTTCCTCACCAAATGATGTCATATAGAATGAAATTCTTCCTTGCCTTTGTGCTTCATAGAACATGTTGTCCATTATTTGTAGGGTCAGCATGTCCTTGTACATCTTTACTGCAATTTCCTTGCTCATCACCTGTTAACGACTTATATTCTTCAAATTGTCCCTTAACTTCCCAACATTTCGAATTGATTTGGCTGGATTTTTTTTCAAAAAAAAAATGAAGAAGAAAGAAACTGAAAAATTAATTGTACCTGTTGGAAATTGTTGTTCCTGATCAACTCTCCGTTGTCATTGAGAACTCGATAGCAAGGTACCCTATTCTGGGACGATTCCCAAATGAATTTCATTTCCGAAGTGTATGGTACCCTTCCTCCGGGGAAATCCAGTGACTATATAATTAATGTTAAAGATTAATGTCAGTCCACTTATAACAAACAAAGGAACATTATATTATATACCCAAGGCACCTTTTTTTTTTTTGAACATTATATACCTAAGGACACTCTAAATTAATAAGAATTTGAAATTTTAATTTAAAATTTACATGTTTTAAAAAAAATTTAAAACAAATAAAGGTTATTTTATTTTGTATAATTTATTATATGCATATAATTATTATATTATTAATCTCTTATTTTGTAATTTGATGTACAACTAAAAATAAAAAAACTTGAAATGAGAAAACCTATTATTAGAGGATTTGTATAATAATTTTTATTACCTAATTCAAATTACATAATAATTTTAATTAAAAAATTTTATTATATAATTTAAATTACATAATAATTTTTTTAATATAAAAAATTAATAATTCATTGTTTTATAATTTATATTATAAAATATGTTTTAAAAAATTAATTATATAATATATATAAGTGACACGTGTATTTTACCATACATATGTAATAAGAGAGAGAGCTTGATCATAGAACGGTTTGCCTTCATCGATACTTATATAAAAAGTGCAATCCTTTCATCAACAATGATAAAAGATACAGGACGGACTGCAAAACTGCTGTCGTCTCTAATTACATACGTACCTGAACCTGCGGATCGTCATCGCTATCGCTGGTGAGTTGTTTTTCAGATATGGTGGAGGAGTTGAAACGCAGGTTGGGAAGAAATAAAGCCGGAGATGTAACGTTGGAGGAGCTAGATTGAAAAGGAGAGGAGGTCCAAGACGTCTGGCTGCCGAGAAATTCCCTTGTCTTCATACATTTTTGTAGTTGAGACCCAATGTTTCTAGATCTCGAAAACCAAATTGCCATGGTAACAAGAAGGAGAAAGACAGATGTTCACAGAAGATACAAAGGAAGAAGAAGAAGAAGAAGAAGAAGAAGAAGAAGAAGAAGAAGATTACACGGAATGGATTGCTACGGAATTGGCCGGGGGGTTCAGGGAGCTGTTTGTACATATAGGGATGTGAAAAAAACTGACAGGTCTTTGATCCAATCCAACAAGAGCAGCTAAGTGCAATTAATGATTGCGACAGTTTTCTTGCATATCCGCTCTTATTTTTCTATTTTTAATTTTATTTTATGTGACCAGATACCATTAAAAGATAAGGGAATAAATAATTTTAATATAAAAATATTATGATTTAATCGTTAATTATTATTAAAATATTAAATATATCTAACTATCAATATACCATATATCAACGAGGGATTGTATTAAGTGGTAAGCGGTTTGTTTCAGCTTAAGTAAGGTCTCAAGTTCGAGATTTTGTGCACGCAGCAGCTTTTACTGGAAAACTCACCCACCATTTTCAGATGCGTAACGTCGATCGAGTCCGAATTAATAAAGGCGAAATCCAAGGTAACAGGCGGAAACAAAAAAAAATCAATATACCAGATCTGATACTGTATATCCGCTTTTATGGGATAAGATTTCCTATTCGTTTATCCCTGGTGTCTTGTGAAGTTAAAGTACCGACTAGATAAGACAACCACCTTTAGTGGGGCTGGTTTCGGCTTTGGTTGTCTACTCTATTGAAATAAAGATATTATAATTTATTGTTAAGATTTTATATTTATTTTTAATTAAAAATTAATTAAATAAAATTTTTTATTTACATTTGGATCTCATAATATAATGATTTTAAGTCACATTGAAATACATCTCTCTTATCATTATAAGTCACGTTCAAATACATCCCTTCAATTTTTGAGTCAATGATGCGAATCCTCTCACTACTAATGTAATTTATTTAAAAAATAATAATAAAATAAATTTTTTATTCAATATATATTATAATTATTTTAAAATAAAAATAAAAATATTAAATAATAC